AGGAAGGAGGCTTATGTAGAGATGAGGCGTGAAGGCTCAGTTAGGGCGCTTGAGAGGTACAAGTTAGCCAGGAAGGACCTAAAGAGAGAGCTAAGAAGAGCCAGGAGGGGACATGAGAAGTCTTTAGCAGGTAGGATCAAGGAAAACCCTAAAGCTTTCTATAGGTATGTCAGGAATAAAAGAATGACTAGAGTAAGATTGGGGCCGGTCAAGGACAGTAGTGGGAAGTTGTGCGTGGAGTCCGAAGAGACAGGAGAGGTGCTAAATGAATATTTTTCGTCAGTATTCACACAGGAAAAAGACAATGTAGTCGAGGAGAATACTGAGATACAGTCTATTAGACTAGACGGGATTGAGGTTCATAAGGAGGAGGTGTTAGCAATTCTGGAAGGTGTGAAAATAGATAAGTCCCCTGGGCCGGATGGGATTTATCCTAGGATTCTCTGGGAAGCTAGAGAGGAGATTGCAGAGCCTTTGGCTTTGATCTTTATGTCATCATTGTCTTCAGGAATAGTGCCAGAAGACTGGAGACTAGCAAATGTTGTCCCCCTGTTCAAGAAGGGGAGTAGAGACAACCCTGGTAATTATAGACCAGTGAGCCTTACTTCGGTTGTGGGTAAAGTGTTGGAAAGGATTATAAGAGATCGGATTTATAATCATCTAGAAAGGAATAATTTGATTAGGGATAGTCAACACGGTTTTGTGAAGGGTAGGTCGTGCCTCACAAACCTTATTGAGTTCTTCGAGAAGGTGACCAAACAGGTGGATGAGGGTAAAGCGGTTGGTGTGGTGTATTTGGATTTCAGTAAAGCGTTTGATAAGGTTCCCCATGGTAGGCTATTGCAGAAAATACGGAGGCATGGGATTGAGGGTGATTTAACAGTTTGGATCAGAAATTGGCTAGCTGTAAGAAGACACAGGGTGGTGGTTGATGGGAAATGTTCATCCTGGAGTTCAGTTACTAGTGGTGTACCTCAAGGATCTGTTTTGGGGCCACTGCTGTTTGTCATTTTTATAAATGACCTGGATGAGGGCGTAGAAGGATGGGTTAGTAAACTTGCGGATGACACCAAAGTTGGTGGAGTTGTGGATAGTGCGGAAGGATGTTGCAGGTTACAGAGGGACATAGATAAGCTGCAGAGCTGGGCTGAGAGGTGGCAAATGGAGTTTAATGCGGAAAAGTGTGAGGTGATTCACTTTGAAAGGAGTAAGAGGAATACAGAGTACTGGGCTAATGGTAAGATTCTTGGTAGTGTGGATGAGCAGAGAGATCTCGGTGTCCATGTGCATAGATCACTGAAAGCTGCCACCCAGGTTGATAGCGTTGTTAAGAAGGCGTACAGTATGTTAGGTTTTATTGGTAGAGGGATTGATTTTCGGAGCCATGAGGTCATGTTGCAGCTGTACAAAACTCTGGTGCGGCCGCACTTGGAGTATTGCGTACAGTTCTGGTCACCGCATTATGGGAAGGATGTGGAAGCATTGGAAAGGGTGCAGAGGAGATTTACCAGGATGTTGCCTGGTATGGAGAGAAGGTCTTATGAGGAAAGGCTGAGGGTCTTGAGGCTGTTTTCGTAAGAGAGAAGAAGGTTAAGAGGTGACTTGATAGAGACATACAAGATGATCAGAGGATTAGATGGGGTGGACAGTGGGAGCCTTTTTCCTCGGATGGTGATGGCTAGCACGAGGGGACATAGCTTTAAATTGAGGGGTGATAGATATAGGACAGATGTCAGAGGTAGGTTCTTTACTCAGAGAGTAGTAAGGGCGTGGAATGCCCTGCCTGCAAAAATAGTAGACTTGCCCACTTTAAGGGCATTTAAATGGTCATTGGATAAACATATGGATGATAATGTAATAGTTTAGGTTAGATGGGCTTCAGATTGGTTTCACAGGTCGGCGCAACATCGAGGGCCAAAGGGCCTGTACTGCGCTGTAATGTTCTATGTTCTATGTTCTGTGTTCTAAACTCAATCCCCCCTGCCAATGAAAGCCAACACACCAAATGCCTTCGTAACAACCCTGTCAACTTGGGTAACAACTTTGAGGGATCTATGGATGTGGACTCCAAGATCCCTCTGTTCCTCCACACTGCCAAGAATCCTGCCATTAACCCTGTACTCTGCATTCAGATTCGACCTTCCAAAATGAATCACTTCACACTTTTCTGGGTTGAATTCCATCTGCCACTTCTTTGCCCAACTCTGCATCCTGTCAATGTCCCGTTGCAACCTACAACAGCCCTCCACACTATCCACAACTCCACCAAAGTTCATGTCATCGGCAAACTTACTAACCCACCCTTCCACTTCCTCATCCAAGTCATTTATAAAGATCACAAAGAGCAGAGGTCCCAGAACAGATCCCAGCGGAACACCACTAGTCACCGAGCTCAGACTGAATACTTTCCATCTACTACCACCCTCTGTCTTCTACTAGACAGCCAATTCTGTATCTAGACAGCCAAATTTCCCCGAATCCCATGCTTCCTTACTTTCTGAATGAGCCTACCATGGGGAACCATCCACTGTTTACCCATTGCTTTCAATTTTTTTCTTCTTCAATCTTGGACCCATATGAATATTTTAAACCCCTTATGAAGATTTCCATTGTCATTGTCTCACCACCAAGACTCAAAAGGTTCAATCCCCTGATCATCGGTTTTCCCAATTCCAACTCTAACTTTGTGACATAACCGCAGGCTATCCCATGAACTGTAATTACTTCACATTTGTTTATCAGACTCTCAAATGCAGATTCTTTCAATTAATCTTTTAGAAATTAAAATATAAATCATTCGATTAAACACCGTAACAACATCATCTCCAGCTGCAAACTCCATCCCTCTCTCTGGCAGTCTTGAAATTAAATCAGCTTGTTTGCAACCTTGGTGTCAAACTTGATACTGAAATGTGTTTCCAATCAGATGTATTTGTGCCATTACCCTATCTAGCCTGACTCAACTCATCTGCTGCTGAAACCCTCATTTCTGCTTTTGAACTTGATTATTTCAATGCATTTCTTGCTGCTCTCTCACCTTTTACTCTCTATAAAATAGAAATCAAACTGCCCTTAACTCATTCCAAATCCTATCCCCCCCCCACATCACCCCAATGGTTGCTGAGCTACATTGACTCCTGATCAATTAATGTTCGGATTTTAAAATTCTCTTATCTCCAAATTCCCAACTCTAATCTCCTCCAGTCCCATAATCTCGGAAATATCTGCTCCTCTAATTCTGGCCTCTTGAATCACCATGCTTTAATTGCACCTTACCTATCTAAGCTCAAAACTCTGAAATCATAGAAAAATGGACTTGTGACAGTGCAGAAGGCCATTCAACTACATTTGTCCATACTTGGAAGGAACAGTTCACTTACAGCCACTCCCCTGCCTTCTTCATACAGGTCCGCACTTTCTTTCAGATAACAATCCATTTCTCTCATTAATTCCTCAAATGAATCTGCCTTCATCACACACACAGACAGCATATTCCACATCCAAATCACTTCCTCGGTGAAAAAGATTTCTACATGTCATCATTGTTTTTGACATAAAGAGATGTGAAGCTTGAAAATCCAAACCTGAAAAATGTACTTGCATTGTATTCTTGAATAATGTGTGTGTGTGTGTGTGTGTGTTTGTATTTTGATGCATTTATGTCACTTACTGCTTTAGCTTGCACCAAGGGAAAAAGCCAGTTTGAACTACAATCAAAAACTGAAAGAAAAATTCCAACATCATCCTCACATCAAACGTATCGCCCGTCACCGCCATTTGCCAAAAATGATTTACAATCAGTCGAAGGAACTTCGTATCATGAGGGAAGCTCGCCGCAGAAAGTATGTTTCACAATTTAGTATCCTAAAAATGATCTTTACTGTGCTTAAATCTTATTTTGAATTTGTTTTAGTTAGTATTATTAAAAGATCCCAAAATATTCCATTTCAAAACTTTGTTTCCAAAATAGCCAAAGATGACCCTTTGATTATTAAAGTATTAGAGGGGATTGTCATCACAGGAGGTAGTAAGAGTTTGAATCTCCAACAACATACCCACCTCGTGTGTTGTTAATCCCTCTGGTAGGGTTAGTGGAGGGAAAATGGTTTCATAAGTTGGTGGCAGTAAAGTAGTTAGTCGTTCAGTGTACCCTTGGACACACCTACAATGTGATACAAACTGCAAATGAGCAACTAATTATGATATGGATGGCAAATTATTTAGATCATCGTAACTGAAGAACATTTTTGCGTTGTGACACTGCTGTATCATTGGTCTGCTCAGTGTTAAATTGACTAACTTAAGCACATTATAACTAATCATCTATATGATCTACAGATCACCTGCATTTTTTAATGTCAGGTCACAGCTGTCTTGAAATGCAGAAGTGTGTTATAGAAAATCGCTGTACTGTACAGTAGAAAGTTTGTATTATCCAAACAGTGTCCACTATTCATCAATTGCGTTACAGCCAATTCACGTTAACGAAACACGTGTTATTAGCAGAAATTCCCGTATTGGAAAGTTTTAAATGATTGGCAATGTCGAAAAGATGCAACAGAAAAATAAAACAATTTTTTTTGTACTAGGGCTGATCATGCATACAGTTGCATGGACTTGAGCAATTATCTCAAATGTTCAACTGCTGAGACAAAAAGAATGCAAAAGTGTTATTTTTCAATTACGTTAATTTAAATTAACTAGAACTTTTTTGATGAATAGATCCTTACTTGCATTTTAGCATCATTGTGTGATCAGAGTGGAATGGATGATTAAGTGCTCAAATCTAAGAAATTTGACATTTTGCCAAAGACAGAAGTTATGCTTGATCCTTTACTCATAATCCCAAAGGTTTTTTTGTATGAGATACAGCTGTGCCTTGCTTGCATTTTTGGGTGGAAATTTGAACCCCAAATCTAAGGCCAGCTTTGCTCAAACGTAGTTTGAATCCCGCTAATCAGGTTTCTCATTCTAGCCACGATACCCAAATGATTCTTACCAAATTTACAAGTCACTTTCCTTTATGGCTGTGACAAATGTAAAGTTTACCACCTCATCCTTCTCAATTTGTCTGTTGCCTTTGACATTGTTGGTCTCCTCCCTCCCTCTCCCCTTTTGTGCCTTTCCATTGGGTGGGACTGTACTTTGTTGATTCCATTCTTGTCTTTCTCATCATAGGCAAAGAATCGCATGCATTTACTCCCGTGCCCATTCCCATACTGTTATCTCTAGTTTTACCCCAAGAATCTAACTTTTGGTTCTCTCATCTGCATGCTGCCTCTTTGTCAACATTATCCAAAACACATTGTTTGTTTTCATATATATACTGCCTCATACATCTCTACTTCACCAGTACTGATGTGAAATTCCAATTTTATCTGACCCCCAGGCTTTATTAGCAGCAATTTCCTTCAATTAATTTGGAATGACTGAAGCTCGTCTTTAGTCTCCACTCCACACTCCACTCCCTTGCTACTGACTCTATTCTATCACTGTGTGAGACTACATCAGACTGATCGCAATCTTGTGTCTTATTTGATCCTCTGATAAGGTTCTGTGTCATTGCCCAGTTTCAGCCCGCTTCAGTTTGTGTTGATGAAATCATGTTCATGCTTTTGTTACCGCCAAACCTGACTATTCTGACTAGTCTCCTAAACTCCTTTCTTAATAAACTTAATGTCATCCAAAACTCTGCTGCCTGTGACCTTTATTTGCCATGTTCTGTTCACTTACCACTCCTGTGCTTGCTGATTAATTTGCTGCTGGTCAAATATGTCTTGATTTTAAAAATCTCAATCTTGTTTTCAAATGCATCCCTCGCTAACTCTGTAATCTCAGAGATCCACAACCCTCCACACTTCTCAATTCTAACCTAATAAGCATTACTTAATTTAAAATATTTTTAATCAGCTTGTTCAAAGGTGTTATGGCATCTCTCTGGAGGTGAGACTGGAACCTGGGTCTCCTGGATCTGAGATAACAAGGTGTAGAGCTGGATGAACACAGCAGGCCAAGCAGCATCAGAGGAGCAGGAAGGCTGACGTTTCGGGCCTAGA